AAGCAATAGGAGAACATCTGGGAAAACTACGGAGAACACCACCACTGGAGAGTTGATTCCGTGCTTTCATGTACCGGGGCTGGACTCCACACTGAAGCCAGATTTGGTTCTTTTTGGAACCGATAAGCCAAGTTCAGCGACTCTGCAATGCTTAAGTGGACGAAAGTTAAGTGTACAGATGTGTTCGTGTGTTGTGCAAACTGGGATCCAGAATACTAAAAACAGAAAAATAAAGCAACAAAACCCAGCAAATCTCTGCTTATTCGCAACGCTGGAAGGTTGTTGATATGAACGAGACAGGATCGAAGAGGTTTTAGAGAGACAGAATTCCTGATTGGGAGGAGCCAATAGGTTCAGAGTTTCAGAGCTAGGCCTGAGATTTTGATTTTTCTCTGTTAAAGGGGTAATTTTAGCCCCTTAGAGCACAGTCCCTCTACTGTTTGAGAGTCAAGACTGCGTTTTTTTAGGGAACACCCCCCAAGTTATTTAGCAGATCAAGAAGCACATAGTTAAGTCGCTAGACTAGAGTGTAGATCTAGCATTCACACTGACTGTCCGTGTCCCTGTCCCTTGTCCACTGCCCTCACGCTGGGTGCTCAGTTGATGAGTATCTTGCTCTAATGATTCACCCCAGGATTGTGAAGTCTAGAATGCACCAGAACCGTGGTGCAGAAACGCCATTCACTCAGTAAAATGAAATCTTTCCAACTCAGCTCCCAGGCAGGACTGCGGTGGACCTCTCCAGCAAGCTGTGCAGAGATGGCAATGGCTGGTCTGCCGGAGGTCTGTGTGGATGTTATTTATTCTTTGGGTCATCACAGGTATTAGATTACTTTAGTGGATCTTATGCAGTTTGGCCTACATTTGTGTACGGTTAAGTTTTCCCCTAAGCATGAAACAACAACAGGCAAACACAAGAACCAACAGAACAAAAGCCAGCCCAGCCGAGAGTTGCTGGTCGAAGGCTATAGGAACGTTACAGTAAGATATAGGTCTGGAGACCTGACTGCCCCTTCCTGCTTCAGTAACACAGTTTCTTCAGAAGGGAAATGCTCCCTGCTGAGATCAGCACCTTGCTACCACCCTCCTGAAGCCGGGAGGGCATGCCTTTCACGCTCTGCAGGGACAAGCAGTTCCTACAAACACTTGAAAGGCTGGTTCACGGTGGTCAAAGAAAGGGTGGTGGCTTCCTTTGAGAAAGAAGCGCCACTTGCATATTAACAAACAGAACTCCATCTGTGACCCTCCTTCAGAGTCTGCCATCTTTGACCTTTTTTCTCCATTACCCAGGATGTGAAGAAAAAAAAAATTAGACCAGGGAGACCTGGGCACCTTACACTCACAACGCTTTTTAATTTTCAGAGACTTTCAGTTACTTTGCTTCTGCCATTGTGAGCTTGATGTTGTCAAGAGTCTGGGTACTATAAACGAGGAAACAGACACAGAATGAATTGTGCAAAACTTCTCAGGGACCCCAGAAATGATTTGTGGTATCATGGGCTTTTAGAACCCTGGCTGGTCTACACATTTCCTCCTGACAAACTTGAACCTCCATCATTTGCAACAGAGTGGAATTCTGAAAACCTGTTTTCCACCCAAAGGTCCTCGGTTTCCCAAATCATTTTTGCGGGATTTACAAAGCGGAAGCAGGAGCGGTGGCCGCGGGGAAGGTGGGACGGGGGGGGGGGGGGGGGGGGGGGGGGGGGGGGGGGGGGGGGGGGGGGGGGGGGGGGGGGGGGAGGGGGCAGCAGTTCTCTAATGTGTGTTCAGGGAAATCGAGTTAGCTTCCTGTGGAAGGCTGATGGGGGGAGCTTTAGGCAGAAGCAGCTGAAACAAAATTCACCTTGAGGTTCCAGGGTCGCCACAGCTGCTAGCTCCTGCTGAGAAGCGTGCTGCAGAGGGATGGCCTCAGATTGAGATCTTGTTCTGGTTTCCCTTCCCATAGTGCTCTAAACAGGCTTCTGGAACCCGCAGCCTGTTGCTAGTCAGACTCTGGATCTGACAAAATGTGGGCCCACAAAGATTGTGATTCTTTCCAGAGTGGAGTGATCCTCCCGCTTCTTGCAAGTACTGGGGACAAGGCAGCTTGAAGAAGTAATCAGGACGGCCAAGGAAGCGAACAGCCCGCATGATGACAGTTCTTTCACTGAGAGCCGGCCTGGCAAAGCTAGTGGGAGGGAGGGAGAATGTAATCCGGAGGCCACTAGTGTCTCCCAGGCTCTGGACCCCTAGGCGGGTGGCCGCCCACAGCGCCCCCGCGCGGCCTTCTTGTGCAGTGCGCAGACATTGGTTTTATAGATGCTGGACTTCTGAGTCACCGGCCCGCAGGGATCTCAGGCGTTTGGGGGACTGTTGGACACTGAAGAGGGATCAAAGCATTCTTGTGGAGCCCGAAGCTCACAAGGCTGCCTTTTTGTTTGCCGGCTTTCACCCCGTCAATAAATTTTCTACGAAAGAAAGGGCAGGGGTGGAGGGCTCAGGGGCTCTAGGTGAACAAGAGAAGGGGCCGGAGTTTTCCTGCACCTGCGTTCCCGCCACGTTAAATCAGCGTGAAGCAAGTGACATCTCCTAGCTCGCCCCTTCCCAATGGCTCACCTCCCGTGGACCGCCTTCCTATTCTCTGGCAGTTAGCTCGTTGGTTCAAAGAGATTTCCTCGGCTCTTAAAGTTTATGTAGCGCCTGGTCGTAAAGGCGTGCTCCAGCTGGCCTGGGTCCTCTTCCCCCCCTTCTCGATTCCTACGATCTCATGGGAGTGACCACTCAGGCAAGCCTCTTCTTCTTCTCTCTCTTTTTTCCCTCCATCACACCCAGACGTATTCTGAACTTAGGAAAAGACTTCAGCGATGATCTAGTTCCGTTTCAACCCCTTAACTGTGTAGAAGCCTCAGGGATAATGGTGAAGAAAAGATCCAAGGTCTGGGCTGCTTTACTTGGCAGTAGAGAAATGGATCCATAGAGAGCTAGTTTCCAATCGTACCTCTCCTCCCAATCTCTTTTCCTCCTTCCCCCTCTCTCCTCCTCTCACCCCCCACTTTTACCACTTACTATGTTGGTAGAAAGAATCTCTTTCAGGCCCCTTTAGGACCCGTGCTTTTGTCATTTGGATTGGAGGTACAGAATCACACTCCAGACACTGAGGTCCTGGACAGACACACAGCCAAGGAGAGTTGGGATTCCCTCTTCCCTCAAACTTTCTTCCACCTCCACCCCATCTTGTTCGAGCCCCCCCCCCCAATCTGCTTTGGAGACTGGAGGAGTCGAGCAGCAAAGGGGGAGACTTCCTTCTCAGCAAGAACACATTTAGAGAGCCTTCCTGGACCTACAGTAAGGAAAAGATTTTAGTTCTCATCGGAACCCAACCCCAGACCCCAGAGTGAACCTAACACAGGGCTAAAGAGGTCTCAAGAATCGCTCTGCTGATATTTGGCTTAAAAATCCAGCCAGCACAGACACAATCTAAAAGTCACAGGGTCACAGGTAGGCTGTGGCTTGTGTGGCCTCTTTTGGCCGCTGGAATGAATTCCTCCCATCCGGTCTAAACTCTAGGCAATGGGTTCTTTCTGAGACTGGGGTCACCCTTCACTTAGTGGATAGATTTGGTTTTCAGGGGTTTTTGATTGCCCAGGGTTAGTAGCAGAACTATGGGGGAAGGAGAAAGTGACCAGCCAGTCAAAATCAGTGCCAAGCTGTTTCTGTCTCCACCCCCATCTTATCAACCTGAGCAAGCAGGCCATCATTGTTCAATTTCCATGCCATTTTCCTCTGGGGTGGAATCTAGGTCCCAGTGCCTCCTGGGGAATCTTTGACTTAGCTATTGGGAGGACGAGAGGACTCTCAATCATTGTGACTTGGAGTCTGGCTGGGGTTGGGGCAGGTAGGGTGGCAGATATGCCTGCAAGATTGCTTCATCGTGCATGGGATTCTATATCCTACCTCAAAGGGCAGGTTCTGCAAAACACAGGAAGCATCGAGGAGGACCCGAAATAGCCAAGGCCTCTTTAGGTCTGCGCTGCCTCTATATTGCTATACATCCTGTCCCCCACACCCCACATCTCGATGATCTCCTTTGAGTTTCAATTTCCCTTAAATGCAAGAGCAGGCAGAAAGATGTGGCTCCCTTTCTCTTTTCAATGTCTCCTAACACTGAACTTAGCACGGAAGGAACAAGAAGGAATGAGGGCTCCTGCCCTTTGCTTTTTAGGGCACCAAAGCAGGGGGAGGGGGCGTGCTCACTGTCTTGGTGGAGAACAGTTATCTCCTCAAGTCTCTCCTCGCTCACCTCCACCCCCACTAGTGTGACAGGTCATATATCTGATTTCGCAAAGTAAATTGGGAAATCATATCTCTGTGGTCCCATCTGGATTATTTATTTTCCCATGTCCATAGCCAGTTAAAGTTGTCGAACTTTAGTAGGACACTGTTGCTATCCACAAGTCTGAGGTCATCTCTAAAGAAATCAGAGCCACAGTTAGCCACAGCAAAGCCCTTATACCAAGGTGCCCAGAAATGCCCAACAGCCAATCACCACTTGGATTTTTTTCACTGGGCAGTTCAAGCTGCTGCTAGTGGTAGCGGCCTCCTAGGTCCATTTTGTGAGTCCTTAGGCTTGGTTGCCTTAGAGTCCCCATGGCTCCCTGAGCAAGTGGAGGTCTCAGGGCAGAGTTGGAGATGCCAATTGGCTTTAGGTGGTAAAGACAGGAGTAGCTTAACTGCCTGACTCAGGGGCCATACTAGTGGAGTGTGTTCAAGGGATTGTACAATGAACAGGGGCCAATCTGATACAGGCGTGCCTTCTTTGAAAATGATTTATTTATGTTTGGACAGGTGTTTAGAGAAAGCACCAAGTCACTCTTACCAAGGAAAGACCCCCCCCCCTTCATCTCAGTTCTGTTTCCCTTTGACTCTCTGAGGGTAAGCTTCTCAGCTGGTAGGCCCAAAAAGTGCTGGAACAGGAAGGGGTGGAGGTGTGTGTGTGTGTGTGTGTGTGTGTGTGTGTGTAGATTAATCACAAGCAAGCCAGGACACTTTCCACCACCTTCACCCATATAGGTCAGTGGGGGAAGGACACCAACTCCACAGCTTGCAACAGCAGCGTAAAGAGCATTGGAAAGAACAGTGCTTTGTGACTTGGGGTTGGTTTCCAAGTCCCCTTTAGGGACTTGTTTCTTCACCTAACAAGTCCTGAGTCAAGGAAGGCCTTTTTAAGAGGGCGAAGAGAAGCCAGTTTCTTGCTGGATGCAAGGCTGTCTTCAGAGAGGAGAAGGAGGTCTATTCTGGAGGTCACACTCTTCGATCACCCTATCCTTGTAAGTTGAAGTTTTCATATGCCAGGCCAGGAAAGGTCACTTTTTAAAAAAAATGTAGAAAAATAATTGTCCAAGGTCACTAGTCTGTGGAAGAACCACCTGGAGCCCAGGCCCCCTCACCCCCATTTCTCCTGAATATTTAGATTACTGAACAGTTTGTGTAACTATGGCATCCTTTGGCAGTCCAATAAAACACATGACCATTCACCCCCAGAGGGAGTGCACACATTTTTACTTTTAGTATGGGAGTGTCTTGGATTTCCTGAAGTTTGTCCTTGGATAAATCCCCACCAGTGGTTCCCTGGAGGACTTTAAGACTGGAGGATGGAGTGTAATTCAACAGGATCTTGATCGCAGCTGCACAGATGGTGGTATAAAGAAGGAAGACGACACACAGGGAAAAGGGGCGATGTGTGTGTGTGTGAGTGTGTGTGTGTGTGTGTGTGTGAGTGTGTGTGGTAATCAGCAGACAGCAATGAAGCTATTGTCCTGTGTTTTCCCTGTCCATGGGGTTCTGGAGGGCTGGAGAAGACCCACTGGGTGTATCCACCCTGCAACCCAGGGATCCAGTGAGCCAAGAAGCTCTCCAGCATCCTTCCCTGGTCTGGCCCAGCAAGCCCACAAGAGGCAGTCTGGTCTCTGCCCTGGGACTTTCCCAAGGGCTGGTCCTCTGGGTTTGCTCCTCTGCCTTAGGGCCCCCAACCCCATGTCCCATTTTCAAGTTCTGGTCTTATCTGACTGGTTCATGTACCCAAATATTATTTGTCTCTCTCTCTCAAGTGCTGTTTAAAGTTTGAACTCGTAAGAGGGCTGCTGGATTCCCTAGCCTGTTTACTTTCAGTTTAGGAAGCAGCTACCCACACCTCCTCCCCCTGTTCCTTCCTGGCTCCCCTCTCTGCCATCTAGTAGCAAGCAAGCCTATTTTCTGAACTTCGTTAACATTTAAAATTACTGGGGAAGGGATAATTATTCTATCTTCTTTCTTCCCGCCATACAAGCAATTAATAAAGAACCAAGCCTTCTGTCTACATGATCTGGCTGGGTAGTGGTGGTGGAATTTCAGTCAGAGGGCAGATGCACAGAAATACCCTGTTTGCAAAGGTAGAAATGTATCGTGTACGTGTGTGTGTGTGTGTGTGTGTGTGACTGTGTTGGAGAAAACTCAGCATTATTTGACAAAGACAAAACAGCGAAAAAAAGACCAGTGCCTAATCCTGTCCTGGAGAATCTATTCCTAAATCCATGCATTAACACCAGAAGTGATGCGGAGGAGCTATGAAAACAAAAACAAAGGAACAGCAACAACAACAAAACGACCAAGAAACCATGGCAAACCCTCTGCCAGTATTTGCTGTTGAGAATCGAGGACTCCCTAACTTTCTGTGACATCAGTGGGGAGGCTACACAGGTCCAAGGTTCTCGACCAGTACCTGGCTTTTTCCAAGGACGATGGGTCTCTCCAGGACTCACAGGGAGAAAACAGATGCTAAACAAGTCAAGAACTCAAAAGCTCCCACCCAGGTGAACCTTATCTTTGGTTAGATAAGGAAGAACTCAAACTCTGTGTTACTAGGAGGTGCTAACCTAACGGAGAGGCAGCAAGAGTTGGTTCCTGTTTACCTCAGTGAAATTGTCCTAAGGGAGTCTTGCGACTTCAAGAGACACTGAAAAATCTACGGGCACATACAGAAAGCCATCCCCATTTACTTAGGGAGACATCGCCTTAGCTCTGGCCACGAATGTGGCTCCAGTGCCCGATGTAGGAGGAATTCAGCCTCACTAGTGGCGTGAGGATACCTGTGTTCCTGGCAGGCGAATGGTCTTTGTTTCCACTTTGGGCGGGCTTGATTGACTCTCAACTTTCTGACAGGTTCGGATTAGAGGAAAATTACAGTCAGCTCCGAAATGGTCTCCCTTCAACAAATATCCACCGCTGGTCTACCGCGAGTCCAAGAGAACGACACGAAGTTTTTTTTTTTCTTCTTCATAAAGCTGGTCCTCCTGCAGAGGGCTATATTTAAAGGTGAGATTCCAAAAGCACCAATGAGATTTTACATTTAGCTTAAGATATTACGGAATGCAGTTTAAGGGACTTCCTTGCGACTCGTGGGGGGAATTTAACTTTGTCTCAAACATTTATGGGATGGGTATTTTGAGAGAGAGGGAAAAAAAAAGTCCGTTTTCTTTACAAACACTCTTCACACACGCTAAAAATCTGTTTAAAAATTTTTGTATACATGCATGCTTAGATTGAATATTTTTGTATCTAAATTTGCTATTGGCGTAAATGATTTCCATTTCTCCAGTATGACCCGTGCTATGCACTGACAGAAGGAAAATGTAAGTGACCTGTAGTTGAGGCGGCCACCTGCCCAGCTCTGTGAAAGAACAGTTTTGCACTTCAGTGCTACGCACAAAATACAGAAATTTGTAAGACAGTAAGGCGCTATCCTGCAAGAGAAGCATGGACTTCTTCGTGTGGAGAGAAAGATGCCACAAAGAGTGGCCCCTTTTTCTTAGCCCAGCTGCCGGTCGATGGTTAAATACCAGAGACGATGAGACCATCGATAGAAATCAATGCTAACCTTTCTGATCGCTACCTCTGAGTTACCTTCTCGAGAAAAATACGGTGCATAAGAGTGAGACTCAGCTTGTTCCCTAGTTCCCGAGATAAACGGAGACGTCTCTGCTGCGATCGCTGCTCACACTTTCAGGTTCAGCGTCGGGATCAGGGACCCGGCTGCAGCGAAGGCTGGCGTGCGGACTCCGGCTCAGGAAAGCTAGGAGGGAAGCGCCCTCTGTGCAGAGGAGGAGGGCGCTCAGCCCGAGTGCTTCAGCCAATCGGCGTGCACACCGCCTGATGATTGACCAATCAGAGGACGCGGAGCTCGGGGGTGGGTGTGGGTGGATGGATAATACTAGGAAGGGGCGAGGGGAGGCCCCGGACTGCAGTGAGTGACGCTGCTGCCCAGAAAGCGAGCTGAGTGCGCTTGCGGAGGCAGAGTCCTGGGTCCGAGCCCCACCTTTCCTGCCCATTTTGGGCCAGAAGTGGAAAGCGAAGTCAAGCGACCCGGGCTACAGAGGACCGAACAGAACTCTGCAGAATTTGGGATGTACGGGGTGAGGTTGCTGAGGACTTGACTCACCTCCTGCCTCCGTCCCTCCCCACTACCCGGTGGGCTCCGGCCTCCTGCTGTCAGATCCCTTTCAGTTTGCGTCTGCTGCTTGCAGCTCCAGAGCGAGATCCTAAAACTGGATATCTTTTTACTGGGTTGCTAGTCTGGGCCTCTGAGTCTTTGGTGAGTGTTGTGATGTCGCCGCTCGGGAGTCAGGGAGGGCAATGGGGGGCTTGAATCATCATTACTGATCCTTTCTGCTTCTGGTTGTCTTGCTTAACGATGAAAAAACAAATTGCATCAACCCTGTGCGGCCCAAGCACTGCTGATGCGAGACTAGCTTCTGCAGCTTTATGGCCAGTGTCCTCCACTCCCTGTGGGTGTGTGGGCCCTCTAATAATAGCACAGCGTTGGTGAGGGGAAGGATAGGGATGCTCCAGAGTCTTTGAGGTGGCATAGGTCAGTCAGTGAGGGACATTTGGGAAACGTGATTTTAAGATCCCTTGTAATTTAAGGAAAGATAATTGTTCCATCGACAGTTTTATATGCATCATGGCCATGTTAGCCGACTGTGGAAAAGCTTGACAAGTGGCTTAAACCGGAGAGTGTGTAAGGTCAGTGGGTGACTGGTCTGGAGAGGCCAGACAGGGTTCCGGTTAAAGGTCAGGTGCACAGACCACTTAGAATTAGTAAACTAAAACCTTCGTTGGGTTGTGGATCTCTGGGTCCATGTGGCTTATATTGTAGGGACCAGAAAGAAACCGGGTAACTTCTGGTCTTGCAAAAGAAGTTCTGGGCCAAGACTCAGAAAGGGCCCCGATTGCGACAGGCGGGTCTTCGGACCTCTTTCTGTTTCCCTAGAGTGTTGGCAACCGACCCGAACGAGAGCCTAGCGCCATGACAGAAGGACAGGCAGTCCCGGGTGCCGGGGACTGGGAGATCGACGTGGAGAGCCTAGAGCTGGAGGAGGATGGCAGTGGGGCTCCGCAGCGGACCACGTCTCAGGGACCCAGTCCGTCAACAGCAGATGGGGACGTCGAGGAGGACGAGGAAGAAGACGAGGAGGACGAAGACGCAGAGGATGAGGGTGACGGCGGAGAAGAACCGGGAGCGTCCCCGGAGGTGCCAGACCGGCCAGAGCAGCCGGGAGGACCGGCACCCAGGCCACCGCCAGCGGCTCAGGAGCTGCCAGCCGCCGCCGCAGCCCCTGAGCGCGGTGCCACCGCGGGTGGCGGCGCGGAGCCTCGCAAACTGAGCCGCACGCCCAAATGCGCGCGCTGCCGCAACCACGGCGTGGTGTCCTGTCTCAAGGGCCACAAGCGCTTCTGTCGCTGGCGGGACTGCCAGTGCGCCAACTGCCTGCTCGTGGTGGAGCGCCAGCGTGTCATGGCCGCCCAGGTGGCGCTCCGGAGGCAGCAGGCCACCGAGGTGGGTACCCTTAGGCCCCGGGTGCCTCTTGAGGGTGCGTGTCCAGCCAGGATGGGGAGCCCCTTAGCAGCAGGAGAGCTGCAGATACTCTGCCCACGCTAATCTGCGGACTCGGGAGGGAAAGCCGTGGACCAAGCAGAGCGTGCTAGAAAAGTCTCCTACTAAAAAAAAAAACCAAAGTGTGGCATTGAAAATAATTAGGTCCATTTGGGACACCACGGAAAAGTCATTAAAATACTTTAGGGTTAGTTTTGCAGGTGGTCGGCGAGGGACGAGGGTGGTTGACAATGCGCTGTGCACAGTCACTGTGTTAATTACGCCCACCGTGAGTAAAGCAGCACGCACTACTGTCACTGTGCGGTGTCCTCTTAACACTTAGGCAGAACTTGATGCCCGTTTTCCAGAGGTGACAAAAATTCTGGCTGTACGTAAGAGATTCTAAGCCCAAAGCTGTTCGGGACCTCAGGTGGCCTTGGCCCTGGGCTCAATCTCTTTCCTGGTTGGAGGTAGATGCTGCCCCGTCTTGCTAGGCTTCTCTGCAGTTCACTGAGTTGGAAGCAACCCGGCAGGAAGGAGAGGGAGCAGAGGGTTCCCAGGCTGGTGTCCCTTAAGAGTTTCTTCTGTCTTTACTTACCGCCCTCCTCCTGAGAACAAGGCAGACACTGAAGACTCCCTCAGTCTCTGGCACCCCATCGTTTCCACTCCACCTAGGGGAGAAGCCATCCTGTCCTCAGAGGCAGGTTCAGGGCACCTTCAGCCTAGTGCATGCGCCCTGGGGAGGCAACCGTCCCCCAACCCAGTTCTCTCAGGCCAGATTCCTAAAGTCCCCTTGATAGTGGATCCCTACTTCCTCTAGCTGTTTCCTTAAACGTCTTTTGGAGCGGTATCTAAAGAAAGCAGGAGTGGCCACACTAGCTGGCTGAGCTGAGATTAAGGAGCGCTCCCATTAATTTTCTTTCAAATAATTTTTATAAGAGACGGCAAAACAAATATGTTTTCGGTTGGGGAGACTTCTAGAGGCTTGTGGATGCCCCTCCCCCACTCTCACGTTTTTTTTTTTTTCTTTTTCGTGTGTATGTGTGTGTGTGTTTACAGGACAAGAAGGGGCTTTCCGGGAAACAGAATAATTTCGAGCGGAAAGCAGTGTACCAGAGGCAAGTCAGGGCGCCAAGTTTGCTGGCCAAAAGCATTTTAGAAGGTAAAATAACGTCAAGTTGTCCGTTGGCTTTTAAACCCAGTTGCGGGGTGCTTATCATTTAGACACGTGACCGTTTGTATTAACCCAGGAAGGAGCTAATCCTCATTAGAAATTTTGCCTCGGGGAAGGGAATTCATATCTAGAAAATGAATGGCGCTTTACTGGCTGAGGGTTTTGCCACCAGGATAAGGTCCTCTCACTAGTTAATGTGCTCCGCTGCAGCGCCTGTGAAATTTGTCCCAGTGTGAGGAATGCACAAAAAATGCACCGTCAAGTGATCCTGGAAGCCACCTTTGGGAAAGAAAACATTTAAAACTCACCCCCGCCATAGCTATGGAAGGAGCTTAATGGGTAGAGTAAGTGGAGCAAGACAAGTACAGCTGGGACCAAGAGTCACCTCTAGCCTCAAGTTTCACTCTTTAGCGTTCTGTTTTCCTCCTTGGAAATCTAGATGCATACAACCCCCCCCCCCCCTTCTTACTGCTTACTTGCTTGTCCCTCAAGGCTGTAGAGTGGGAAAAGATTGGAATCAAACAAGCAAAACTGGAGGCTCGCTGAGTAGAGCTCCCCTCGCCTTCATTTTCTACAAACCCTGGAGACCTGTTAATTATTCCTGTTAAAAGTAGTGATTTTTCTAAAGCATCTGAATTTAGGCATGGTGTTTATTTAGTGACTGGCTAAGCAATGTATTGCCATCTCTGGTTCCCTTACTGTTCTTTACACTTCCTTGGCCTTTATCTAAGGCGAAGTTCCATTTGCTTTAATCACTGCCACTTCCTATAGTTCAGCTTAAACAGAAGGGCTTCCTTCCTGGAAGTGGACACTTGAGTCTTTTTTTCTTTCTTTCTTCTGAGTTTAGCTGATCCTGAGTGGTTTTAAAGGTTGTCTGTGTTTCAGACTGTGCTGTGCACCTCTGACCTTTGAAAGAGTTTTGAATTTGGTTGCAAAGTAGGTAAACATTTATCACTCTAGGGACCACACTGATAAATCGGAAATTTTGCCAAAGCAAGTTGAGGCATTTTGAGGGCTCAATGGAAAAAAGTATAAACTCCAGTAAATAACTTTCTGGCCAGACAGTTAGCCTAGAAGTGGAAGCAATACTTTTCAGTTTTTATTTTATTTGCAAACGAGTGTAATAGGTTTGTCCCTGTGTAAACACAAATGCTACACGGGATCCTTCAGAAAAGTTTGCCAGTCCTGCTAAGTGTTTGGGAGTGGTGCACTGCTCCGAGCGTTCTATTGGTTTTGTCTCTGTTTCTGAACTGCGCACAACTGCATCTGCATCTTAACGACTGCTCTTTCGGCCCTTTTGGTATTTGGCCGACCTGAATGAACTTGGGGGAAACACTTGAGGTCTGTAGATGGAGACACGCCCCTCCCCATTGTTTTGTCTCGCTTTGCTTGTTCATGAGGTCAAAGGGAAGCCCGAAGAATTACTAGGTGTGCCTTGTGTTTGGACTAGTTAACAGCTATTTGCAGCTTTTCTATGCTGCTCTACGTCCTCAAGTCCTCTCTTCTTTTTTTCTCCTTACTAATCTTCTTTAACTTTCTTTTTCTTTCTTTTTTTTCCTAGTTCTCCTTGGATTATTCTACAGCTGTAACACTGTGTACATAATGAGACATCTTTAGGAAATAAAAGTGACATCAGCTGTAGGTATAGATATCTTTTATAATAATGAAAAAAGGAAAAAAAAAGATGATATGGGCAATGAAACTGATGAAAATAAGGTGGACAGATTTGTCTCTCCGTGTCTAGGGATCTGGGAAGAATATTAACATCTCAGTCATAATATAATACTTGCTGAAGCAAGCAAGCAGACATACCTATCCCAATGAAACCAATGACAGCCAGAAGCTAGCATATGGGCACCTTTCCCGATAGGGAAACTATATTAAATCAAACATATACTTTTGCTTCTATATTAAAATATCAGTGATTTGGAATTATAACTGATTTATCCTGTGGTTTATGATGTTATGTTTGCCTTCTGGATTTCCACATTTTTCTTG